ATATTATATTTTTGCATTAATTTTAATGGCTGTGTTTTCCACGGCCAATGCAATACCACATCAACTTCAAAAGAGAATTACGCACTTTGAAAATGTGATTTTATTGAATTTCCAACAACCCCACTCTCCGTTAAACTTAATCCTGATCCAGTCGTCCCTGGAAAACTCATTACTTTTGATGTTTCTGGAACTTTAGATCAAGTAACCACACAAGCAACCACACTTCGAGCTTATTATTACGATCCTGTAACGAATCAAACCGTAGGTGATGGCTATTTTGGAACGGTTTGTACTGGAACTGGATGTCCAATTAAAGCTAATACTCAATTTACTAAAATTGCTAAGTTTCTGGCACCACCAACCTTACCTAATCCATCCCAAATTAGAATAATGATTTCAGACATAGCGGTCGAAGTAGTAAAAGATCCAGATCTAATTTTAGGTTGCGCAATGGCAACATTTGTTTAATTGATTCTGCGATTGCTGCGCTTCTATCACTTATAATTATCATTTTTTTATCATTTTTATTTTGAATCCAAATTTATTTTAAATAGTTATTATCGTTATAGAATTTATTTACCATAACATGTTTTCTGTATAAGACGTCTTTAACACTTGGTTTTTCAAAAAACGCTTCTATTTTTATTAATAAGTTGCAAGTTTAGTTTTTTTGATCGATCACAATTTGTGTAATACATTTTGACCTTTTACAGTAAGAGTATTATTTGTAAAATTAAATTTATGCATATAGAATATCAGATCGCAAAGATCCTTTATCATATTTATTAGCGTTTTATATAAAATTTTTACTATAATTTCAAAAAAAAATTTTGTGCTCAACTTTCAAAAATTTCCTAAAAGTTTGGTAATATTATTTATATGGAATCCAATTATTATAAAAATTTTGATGGCCTCATCTGGATTCAGGTTTATGCTAAATTTAAAATTGTAACATCAATACGATCATAATTGAAACTAGAATTCAGATCTGAAATTTATTTACCTTCGAGTTACATTTTCAGACAAAATTTATTTCAAATTAAATAAAAAATATTCAAACGAATATCGAAATCATTGTTGAATATCAATGAAACGTGGATGGATGTAAAAAAGAAACCTCATAATAGCGAAGTATACGAGGTTGAAAGGTAACAATACGTTTCGCTATCTTCCTTGGTAATCCATCATCATTTGTTAAACTTGCGAATAATGTTTTTCTTTGTGGTCCTTTTGATGGGAAGAGTGACAGTGATGGTTGAGAATGTTACTAAATTAAAATTATTTGTCAACCTTTAATATCAAAAACAAATTTAATTAATAAAATGAGCAGAAATAAAAGATTTTTATATCGAAGAATATACTCATAAATTTGGACAGTCTGTAACATAAAGTCAGAAGTTTAATTAAATTTTAATTACATGTTAAATATATTAATAGTGATTAAATTACTTTCAAGCTGAAGTATCTAATCCATTAATTTTCTAAATCAGAATTAGTTTTTTTATTTAAGGCCCGGATATAAAGTCAAACCGAACATTTCGGATTAATCCGAAAATTCTGTTCGGTCGGTTATATGGGTAGATTGCTAGGAAAATCAGGTTCCGGGAATTTTTTAGCAAAATTGAGATTTTTATTGCATTTTATTTTT